TTTCCACTTTTAACCCTTCAACTATTATTTTGGTACCCGACTTTTATTTTTTCCACTTTTAGTCCTCAACTATTGAGCTAGAGACATTTTTAGTACATGTCTTTAAAGATTTCTGTATTTAATTTAGTCCTTCGACTTTCATAAAGTGAAACTTTTGGTCTTTCAACTATTACAATAACGACATTTTTAGTCCTCAACTTATTGTGTCAAAATCATAGTTGAAGAACTAAAAGTGTCAATTTGACAATATTTAGGGGACTAAATGTGGAAATCTTTGAAGTCGATGACTAAACGTGTCGGTAATTGCCATGCTTATTAATAAAATGAAAATATTTGGTTATGTTTCAGGTTTAGAGAGGTGAAACACTATAAATTAACCACACAAACCCTTCCATAAAAGGAAGTGGGAAAATGTTTTGGGACATTTTTTAAAAGTAATTGAGTGGGAAGAACAGAGCACTATATACTAAAATTTTAAGATGTAAAATTTTAGTATTAAGTTTGAAGTGAGAAAAGTGTGAGAAAAGTAATTTAGGATATAAGTAGTATATATATTAGAATATTCGGTAAATAATTGAATAATATATTCTGAAATCATAAAAAACTCAAATCTCATTTTAAATCTATATACATAAAATTCAGTAGTGCTCGGTACTGTTTTATTAGATTTACAAAACATTTTCTAAGTCCCTAGATTAGTTCAGATTAATTTTTATTTTTGTGCACCGTGCGTTAAGCCTTGCGAGACCATTTTGATATTGTTCTCAATCACTTCTATAATAATGATACCATCATCAATAAAATATCTTTCAATGACATTGAATTGAAAACATAATAATGACTAGAAATACAAAAACGCTTTGTAGTATATTTCCTAAAAAGAATAAAATGCTATGAAGCACGGAAACTCTCCACGGCTCACGTTTCCACGTTTCGGAAACTCGGAAACTTCAAATTCCCGTTTCGGGGCTGTTTCCGTAATTAAGAAAAATTTGGAAACCCGTTTCACTACGTTTCGGAAACCTCGGATTCCAATTTTTTTTCTTTTTTAAAGATTCTGTGGTGAAAAATAAATTTTTTAATAGTGAATTTTTGTGGTATTTCTCAGCAACAACACTTGTTACATTTCGTAACGCAATATATTACTAGAAATGTATTACTCCGTATATTTTATGTTTAATTATGTACTAAACTACTAATATGAAATAATATCTAAATTTGAACATGTAGAGTGATTTTATTATTTGGTTACTAAACAAATTATATGAAAAAAACATGTTCATATGGAAAAACTTGTATACATACATTAAAAAATATTTATAATATATCCTTATATTTTATAATATTTACGTGTTTCCCCCACGTTTCGTATCCTATATTTTTTAGAAATTACGTTTCTCGCGTTTCCTGTTTCCCGTTTCGCATTTCCGTGCTACTTAGATAAAAAGTACTCTATACTATATTTTCTCGACTAAATTGGGGTGGCATTACTATCTTCCGAAAATATAACTCCATTATTTACTTATAATTAGTTTTTCCTTTTGTTCTTTAAATGGGACTCAATGACCTAGTTCTAATTTAAAATTGTATCCATATTTACTGTGGTATTATTTGAAAAATTTCTTAACTATGTAATGACAGTAGGTCTCATTAAATATTATCCGCTAACAAATCTCATATACATGTCTTAAAGTCAAATGCTACTACTTAGTTCCAATGGTGAGATTAATGCAGCACGGTTGAGAGGTTGTTGCATAAGCATATTCCCTTCGATCAATGTGCCAAATTAAACGATGCTAGCTTTGACCTTATCTTTTCTAGGGCAGAAATAGTACCGGCCGAACAAAAAAATTGATAACCCAAAACCGGTTGAAAAGAACTGATCATAATCGAATCGATAAAAATGGAGTCCATGAACATTTGTATCGGCGTAAACTGACCAAATCATATTTAGTTTGATTCAAAGTTTGACGATTAAGCATGAAAAATGACCGAACTGAAACAAAACCTACTCAAACTAATTAAAATATGTCAAAACAATTCGAAACCCACAAAATAATAACTGAACTAAAGTCTACTGAAAACAGCTTACTAAATTTAGTCACTTTGACTTGCATTTTTACCTTTCTCAATATCGAACCAATCTAAATCGAACCAATTAAACCAATCAAGGAAACCGAACCAACGAATGCCCCTATATATACACGAGTTAATCGATATCGTTTAAACGTGAAACCTAGAGTTTAAAGTTTATTTTCTCTCCATCTATACCAACAACCTTCAATTATCAAAACTTAAAAGGTTTTTGATAAATCATCACCATGGATTTGAATTCAATAACAACCCCTTCTCAATATCACTGTTGTGTGTTTCGTAACAATGCCATTCTTAATGGTGTTGAAAATCCTCCGATGAATGCCTTCGTCTTTCAGATTATCGTTCGGAATATGATTAGCTTTTACTATCTTTCCCATCACACCAACCAGTGGGTGCTTCACAGCAATCTAAATGAACAACCACACTTTTCCAAAAACCTCATACTTTCTGCGTCCAACTACAACAACGTGTTTTTTGACGTAAGCACAAGCTTCAATGAGATAGCTTTGGTTCTCACAGAAGCTTCCATTCCCACCTCGGAGCATCCTTGCATCATGGCAAAACTCAACTCCACTGTTATGGCGGTGGTACGACGGTTTGGCAACCTTGAAGACAAAATCATCCCTCTCGTGGTTGATATTGCTAAGTCACACTTCCAAATCATCAGAGATCCCTTCCAACCCAACCTTGAAGAGTATTTGAACAACCAGGTAGTGATTTTCTTTCAAAATTAGAACGTGTTTGATATCCTTAATTTTCATCTTATGAGCTTAAACCAATTCAACTTTAAATCATCACTCAACTTTTTTAATCTAATCAACAGGGCATGATTACTTTTTTTAGATGAATTGGTTTAAGTTGTTGAGGAACACAACAACAACAATATCCAAGCCTTATTCCCAAAAAATGTTGGGGTTGGCTAACATGAATCGATCTATGATATCAGACCTAAAAAGATAAGAAAGATAAGAAAAAAAGGTAAGACAAAACGGATATGAAATATAAGAACATAAAAAAAAATATAAAAAAATAAAAATAACATATGAACATTGAAAGATAAAGAAGAAAAAAGATGAGAGAGAGATAGAAGAGAGTGAAGAACACTATTTACTAGGCTTTGTATTATTTTCTGTACTCTAGTAATGTTTCTTTGTTCAAATTCCGCTCTTTTAGCCAGAATCTCAGAAAGTTTAGAGAATTAAGTCAATTATTATAGCATTAAAACATGCTCTTAATCTCCTAAACAAGACTCTTTGGTTACATGTGTGCGTGACTCTGTTTTATATTTCAGTTAGCTTATAGAATTGGTGGTCACTTTTATTAATTATTACGATGTTTTCACAGTGATTGATGTACAAAACTTGATCAGATCAACCTTCAACAGAATTAACAGACCTAACTATATAAGAATGACTTAAAAACAAAGATTAACTTACAAATAAATTACACATAATATTAGATTTTTTTAAAAAGACGTGAAAGTGCATTTCCACCAAAGTGTAAAAAATAGTCTGAGAGTTACATTTTTAGTTCTCCAAATATAAAATGAGTTTCAAACTATTGTAGAAAAGTTCATATCACAAAATGGTGAGATGATCACAAAAGGAAAAATTAACTTCATTACATGATTAGAAGAAATAAATTGAAAACAAAAAACAAAAGTAGGATTAAAGAAACGCTCATTAAGCCAATAGTGAGAAGACTTGAGTGACAAAAAATTCATCAATTAAATAAAGGATATCAATATATAAAAGAAACGATAACGTAACTTCTTCAATTATTACCACATGATTTTTCTACTATTCAGTGGGCATCAACGAATAGTGGCGGATTTGAGGAGTTTGGTGATAACGAGGAAGAAGAAAATGAGGTTAACAATGAGATGACAAGGTTATCGATGCAGAATGAGGAGGAGGTGGAGGAGGAGGATTACAATAGTTCTCCGGCAACCGAATCATCAATCGCCGCATTGGAGAAGGTGAAGTCGGGCGAAAATGGAGAATGTGCGATCTGCTTGGGAGAAATGGAGGTGAATGAAATGGTGACTCGCATGCCTTGCGGCCACATATTTCATGGAGGATGCATTGTACAGTGGTTGGGAAAGAGACATGTTTGCCCCTTGTGCCGTTTTGAAATGCCGATAGCCGCCACCGCAATGGATGATCGTTCTACCGCCTAACCAGGGGTATTTTAACATGTAATATCCTTTAATTATGTTTAGGTAGTAATTTGGTTGTGCAATTTGTGTGTTTTGTCACATGTGCATTACAGACAGTCAATTTTCAATTTTAAATAGGGGGTTATTCATTAATTTGGTTTTCAATTTGTGATTCTTGCACTTGCGCAATTTGGGTTATAGACAATACAATCTTAGCTGTGTTAAGATTAAGTAGCATTCATTTTGAATTAATTGATATTTACTTTGTTAACACTTAAGCCTATGTTTCAAACTGGATATAAAGTTATAATCAGGACATGTTTTTACATTTATATTTTCGAACATTGAATTATATTGACTATATTGAAATAGACATTTCAAATAGCTAGAAATATTTGAAAGAGACTTATATATATTATCCTTGAGAATATTAGCTTTATTCTTTTTAACAATATAATGTTTGGTTTCAAGTTTTAACTAGCTATAATAACTTGTACGAGTGGGGCGGGGCGGACCCGCCCCATTTGCAAGTCGGGTCGGGACGGACCTGCCCCAAATGTCTCGGGTCAGGGCGGGCCGGTTTTTTTTACATGCCTAAACTTGTTAGGACAAAACGTATTATTTGGAACAACATATTTTCATCCCATTTTTTCATTTATTACTACGTAACTTTTAAGAAACTAACAGTTATAATAAAGTTCAAAAAATCTTTTCATCAAATATGATACACAAATGGAAAGTTGGTGGGGTATAGTTTCGAACATTTTTTGAAGGATAAAACTCAAATTTATCGGGGACTAAAGTCTTCCCTCCTATGTTCGAAGAATACAAAATTAAGCACACGTGTGTTTGTGAGCTATCTCCAATCAAACCGCCTAGGGGAGAACTCAAAGACGCATGAGCAACGAATCCTCACACGCACCACATCTCATGGACACATACTCTACCGACCAGCAGATTGAGGACACATGTAGATTGATCATTAGTTATTTGGCAATGGTTGTAGCACCTACACCCCATAAGACTTTTGCAAGGATTGAGATATTCACTCTCTTATTGTAAAACGGAGCAATATGGAAAGATTTTTTATGCTGGTTGGCTCATCTCGAAGCAGGATGCAGCCGTATATATACAAAGTACACGCATCGGCTTGGATACGTCCTGCCATGCGAAACAAAAGGAAGTAAAGAAGGAAACAATCCTTAAAGATTACATCTTCCTATTCTAACTAAAAGACTACGTACGTACAAAGAAAAAATGTTACATGAATAAATATGTACACAAATTAAATAATAATAACTAACACCCAACACCCACCCCCCAAGATAGAGCATGGGGGTCACAAATGCCCATCTTGCCAAGAAGACACGAGAATTGATGAGCTCCGAGCGCTTTAGTAAGTAAGTCTGCGGGCTGTTCGGTAGTAGGAGTGTATGATGGTGCCACTGTGCCTGCTTGAATGTGATCTCGGATAAAGTGACAATCAAGTTCTATATGTTTCGTATGTTCATGAAAAACCGGATTTGAAGCAATATGTAGTGCGGCTTGATTGTCACAGTGTAGCCATACGGGTTCAGACTGCGTTACACCTAATGAACAAAGAAGGTTGCGTAACCAAATTAGTTCACAAGTCAAGGAGGCCATGGCCCGGTATTCAGCCTCTACGGAAGACCGAGAGACAATTGCCTGCTTTTTGGTACGCCATGATACAGGAGAAAAACCCAGAGATACAAAGTAGCCGGTGACAGACCGACGAGTGACAGGACAACTCGCCCAATCTGCATCACAATAACCAGTGAGAGACAGGTTGGAATCGGACCGTAACAAAATTCCCTGTCCGGGCCGTCCCTTAAGATATCTGAGGACCCGAAGTATAGCTTCCCAATGAGCCACCCTGGGATTTTGCATAAATTGTGAAAGGATATGAACAGAGTAACAAATATCAGGCCTGGTTAATGTCAAATAAATGAGTTTCCCAACTAGCCTTCGATACCGCTCCCGATCAGTAGAATAAGTTAACCATTAAAATCACAAACTTAAAAAGCTTTGGCAATATTTACTTCTCACATCTATCATCTCGAATTTCTCTAATTTTTAATATTTTTTTATCGTCAAAATGGATTTCATGAAAGTAGAACAAACAAGCAAGATAATATACACACAGCTATTACAGATCCGATCGTAGGCCCTAAGAATAGACTTAGAATAAGTCACTAATACAAAGCAACCTGACTTGCTAGACATAAAACGTGCAAGAATATGCTAACATGATCGAAAATGTAGCAATGCCTATAAAAATTCATTAAAATTCAAAAAACTCCTACCACACCTACTCGAACTAAAATAAAAACAAATACCATTAAAGGAAAAATAACACGAAGATAGAAACTTTCCCCAAAACACTTCTTCGCTCGGAGGTGGTTCCGGAGGCACACGATCTGCAGTAGTATGGGAGAAGACATTTTGACCCCTGAAAAATTCATCTGAAACTCCATTCTTCTTGCGCTCGCCAATTCGCTCTCACCAATTTGCTTCTTGAGATTTGTCATTGATATCTCTATCATATTGCTTCTGTACCTAATCGCCTGCAAAATTCCTGGATCAGCCCGTACAAGAAAGGTTTCCAGACGGGTACGAAACACTGGTGTGAATCAGAGCCTTCCTCAGATCCAAATGTTCGAGAATTCATTGGATCAAACCGTCCAAGAAGAATTTCCACTACAAGAAATCACACATTTTGTGACAAAATATTGTGTGACACACAAAAAGTTGTCATTTTTTGTTCGGTAATAGTTACAAAACTAAAATTCGTCACTATAAAAGTATTTTTTATGACAATATCATTGTTTGTCACTTTAGTTCTCACTTATCGTCACTTATTGATACAAAATGTGACGATTAAATCAAATTTGTCACTCAAAGTTTTAGCGCCAAAAATTGATCCAAAATTTTGGTGGGAAATCTTTTGATGACATTTTTTATAACAATTAATGACTATAAATTTCGTCACATAATTTTTAAATACAATGACAAAGTCATATTTTGTCATTAATTGTCATACAAAATAATGACAATATTATTTCGTCATTTTCTCTCTCTTTTTGTGACGAAGAATTTAAATGCGTCATAATTTTACTTTTTAGCACACAACACTCTATTTTGTAACAAAGTCTGAAAAAAATCAATGACAAATTAACATATAATGAATGACCTTGTGACCTCATATTTGTAATGATAAAGTACAAAGTTTATAAATTTCATAACATTATACGGAGTACTAATTAAAATTATGATACAATTTTATGAAATTGACAATTTTTTTTGGGATGACGGTTGTATGACATAAGACCACACCAAGATATAAATATTATTGATTTATGATTTAAGATTTTTTCTTTTGGACTAAAATTTGGAGGTCTGATTTGGTCTAGTCTGAACTGATCTGGTCTGATAAACGCCTGATCTCTGTATATTTTATAACTATAAAGATCTGATCTGGTCTGGTTGACGGAAACCGTCCAATAGAAACCATACTTAACAATATCGATAGATAGTAATGACACTAACTCAAAAATTTTAATTTAATTTCTTCTTATTTCTTCTTTGATATAAGGGCGCCGTTGATGAGTGGGATATCGGTAAATGGCGCAGCGGATAGACGGGCACAATCTTCTTCGCCCCTGCTACATCTTTGATGTCAACTTTTCCGCTCCTCCGTTTGCGAACTGCTATGCCGTACCTCTTTCTTGTAAAACCAATCTGAGAAGCTGGGTTCGAATGGAAGTCGTGGTTAGAAAAACAGGCCACGAGGCGATGGTCAAGAGCTGAAACACCATAAGAGTGCTTCATCTACGTCGTCGCTCTTACGGTTCTTTCTACTTCTTAGCTTCACATATTCTTCTGTAGGAAGTTCCAGTGAAGGCATGTCAGTGATAGAGAGTGTGCGACAGCTCCAGCAAGGTCGACTCTTATCTGTAACATTTATAGTTGCGTTTTGCTCTTTCTTTTAATATAATTGTGTTTATAATTCTTCAGTTTGGTCATTGATTGTATTGTGAAGTTCTGTTGGATGGGTTCATTGTTTCATGTTTTCAGTCGCTTTAAATGTCTAATTTTCTACATTTAACAGTTTAGTATCTATTGATTAACTGTGAGGTAAACTGTGATGACAAAGTGCTTATTTAACTTTTATTCTACTATTGGTACTTCTGATTTATCTTCTATTTCACTTTTTTTTATTTTCAAATTTCATACGTAGTACTCAGTATTAACTGAATTATTCCTACATTTCAGAGACATACGTGAGGATTTGCTTGTTGTGGGAGACTGGAGAGTTTGACTTCAGTAAAGATTTTGATTAAACATACCTTTGATGAGGTTTTCAAAGTTCTGGTGATGAAGGCATGGTTATTCAGCACAAGGTTTTTGAAAGGCAAAATCTTTAGTGAAAGGACTATACTAATCAACCTAGTATACTAATCCGTTTGGTAGAAAACACCTCCACATCTATATATCAACTGATTTAATTCAAAAACTCAATTTTGTAAAACTTTAAATATCTAATTTTCTACAATTAACAGTTTAGTATCTATTGATTAACTGATATTAATTAATCAATTTTAAATTGAATAGTATATATATGTATATGTATATCTAAAAGTCGAGTTAATGTCACTATATTAACTAAAACTTTAGTATCTATATACATTGTCTAATCAGTTTACTATCTATATAGTATATATTAACTAACAGTTTAGCATCTATATACTAACTGATATTAACTAATAAGTTATGATAGGGGGTGTCTTCCAGTTTACTTGGGATTTTCTCATTGGATTACTCGTTTCACGAAAGCCTATTTTTGAGTTATTAATTGGGTTTTGTGTACCTAGCTACTTTATTATTCTTTTACAAAGCAGGGACTTGTGTGACTGTAGATGAATCCCTATTTCATCAAATATGTTCTTATAAGAGCATATTTTACTTTCTTTACTATTTCTGTAAAGGCACTCCTTTTTATACTTTCTGCTGTTCACTTACTTAGATTTATAGTGCACCTTTGTTGGAAAGTTTAGTTTCGAAGTCTTTTGAGAGACATTACTTAGGTTCTACAATTTGATGTCTTATTTGCCAATTTGCATCTGTTATTTGGGGCATCATAGTATCATTGGGCTTGTTGATTTCTTGTAGTTGACACTACATTATTCTGGAGCTGCTGCTGGAAGGATGACATAATTTTAATAATGTTGTTTCATGGAGTCAGGAAGAGAAGCAGGGGGTTTGGTGTGGGTTTTCCGAGACTCAATATTTGTATCTGCAAGAGCTATTCCTTTGTAAGATGTTCCACCCGAGTGTAGCAGATATTCTTATAGCTAGTACTTGAAACTTTTAGCTAGATCAAGATTGGAGATGGTATTGATGTTGAATCATGTGCAGTTCAAGTTTTGAAGGTATAAGGGAGAGAAAACGCATTTATCGTGATGTTGAATCGCTTCGTTCAACATACTGGTGGACGATGTGCAGGGCATGAGAGCTCAGTTTGTTAGCATTGGTGGAAGATGAAGCCTCAGTTTGTTAGTATTTCTTTCAATCATAGTAAGAGGGCTGTTAACTGTTTTAGTTAGATTAGCAGATTCAACCTCCGAATTGTATTGTGTATATTGTAGTTCATGATATTATTAATGATAATTCAGTACAAAGCTGTGACAAATGATTAGTAATCTTATCTTTATTGAATGAGGACAAATGTTTATAATTGTCATTTTATATACACTTTCGTATCCTTTTCTTTTTTATGACACTTTATGTGTGATCATAACTACTTTACAATGACGAACTAAGTAACTTGATTATGACAACTTTGGTGTCACCGCTAGTATGAGTATAATGTGCAGCGTCACTAAAAGTTATACTTTATTGACAAATTGAAGATTCGTCATTTATTATCACTAGTATAGATGACAAAATTCATAATTACATGACAAAATTATTGATAAAAAATGACACATTCATCGTCGCTGAAAGTTATCAATAATGGTGACAAAGAACAAAAGTGTCACAAAAAATGATTATATAGTGACGAATCCCAATATTGTCATATATACCTTTTGCCACGGAGCTACGGTGACGATCACTATGACGAAAATAAATCGTCATATAAGAGTTTTAGTGACAAAAAATGAAGCTTTTATGACAATTTTTTTCGTCATGTTTTATCAGATTTCTTGTAGTGTTCCAATCTGACGCGAACCCCAATCCTATATGCGTACTTACAGTGTTGCTGCATGCCTTGATATTAAGTAAGTAATCAGCCATGTTCTTCCGAACTTCTTATTAGTAGCCAAAAGCATATTGCCGCCGATAAGAGGCGCAACCCAAAACAAACCCTAGCCGCCGATTGAGATCGTGCGAGATCTTCCATCCTAGTGGCGATAATCCTTGACCTTAGGTATTCACGTATTTCTTCTTTCCAAAAGGACGGTTAGATCTCTCAAAGAGAAAGACTATACTAGAAAATCTCTTCACAGAAAAATAAACTGGTAGTACTGAATCTACAAAAACTTTGTAATTTTTAATCTTAACTACTTACTAATGACTAAATTGCCTTTTCCCTAATTCACCTGTCTTTCCATGCGTCACTTTTGGGAATAGCCTGGTAGTGTAGATGGCCTATGAAGGCAATTAACTTCCACCAATCGGATAAAATATATAATAAACATACCATATGAATCCATACGTATTTTACTCAAAAGATCATACCGCTAAACTCAAGTCTAATGAAGCAGGACAACTGAAGCAAAGTGTTTTAATTGCCTAACCATATTTAAAATGTGTAACTGCGTAAGAAACTATTATGCCATATTTGTGAGTTACTACCTCCGGTCCACTAGGATTGAGACGAGAGAAAGTGGCACGATTATTAAGAAAAGTGAGTTTGTATGGTTGATATTAAATTGATAAAGTAAGAATAAAGTAAGAATGGTTTAGAGTCACACAATCTTTACCAAATTTGTATGAGACAATCTTAGTGGAACTTCTCAAAAAGATAAAATGGGACAATCTTAGCGGGACAGAGGGAGTATACTTTCGAGTTTAGTGCTCCACACATTCCAAGACTCCAAAGAGAAGAGAGTTTAGTGCTCAAACACATTCCAAGATTCCAAAGAGAAGAGAGTATTCCGACAGCTTAGCAAACTCCATCATGACCATATAGTAGTATCAGGTTATGGTGTAGTAATTCCGTTCTATTTCTAATTTTTTTTTATCGTCAAAATAGATGGCTTAAATTAATATCATAGCATTCAGATAGGGAGAAGATGGGGGGTAAAACGACAAAATGATCATAGACAATCGTCAACTCTCGAACCCGACTTAGAGTTAATCACCTCCAAAAAAGCAATTTAACTCGCTGATCCTATAATGGGCATAAATGAGCCAACGACGATTAAAGCAGACCTCTCATCACTCAATCCTAATGCAAGGGTCTTAGAACAATAATAGTAACTAACAGAAAAATAAACTGTCTGATCATGAAAAATAAATAGCAAGCAAACAGTAAAATTAAAATAGAGATAATTGGGTATAT